GACCATGCACGAAATCACGTGTCTTGTGCCAAGGACATCGAGATTACTCGCTTGTCGCCATGTAAGTGATTGAATTTACACCACACACGCATATTTGCTTCACTTTGGTTCAAAGATCAATTTATGCAAGGTTCCATGGTCACAACCTTGACAGGAAGCAGATATTGCACGGTCACGATATTGCCTGAAGGCTGCTATTGCCTTTATATATTGTTCGTGTAGATTGGGGGTAAGCACCATGTGTCAGTTGCAAATTAGGAATTTTGGTGAATACGTGTTGTTGCTTTGAAAGATAAAATAAAAAATGAAGATTGATACAAATTTATTATGCAATTTCAATCGTTATTAATATTCAAATTGGAGGATGGCAGAACATCAAGTAGCTGAAATTGCTCAATGTAATAAAATGGAACAACAGCTCAGACAAGTATGCAATCTGACTTAAGTCCACAAACCCATGCAAAAAAAATAAACTCCATTCAATATTATGTCATACGCTAGCAAAACAATTAACGAGAACTAAGGAGATGATGTAAACAAAAGCCGTGGCAAAATTAACAGACCTGCACTTTTTCTTAATTAACAATCCTGCAGCATCGCGACAATGTCATGTTGTTTTACATGATGGAGAAAAATGACGATATTACCAATGAAAAACGGATACGAGTGACGTGATAGCAATATTTCGTCTGGGCTAAATTTTGATCAATGAGTAATATTGATGTACGTGATAAGCGATCATCATTTTCTGCAATCCTGTTATTTCTCTTACACCATACATTATATGCGTCCTGAATAGAGCTTAATTGTGTCGTCTTGAGAGCGAACATACTGACTTCATCTTCAAAATATAACATTAATTTTATTGCATGTTACGCTTCAGCGAATAACCCCCCCGAAACAGAGAAAGAGAGCGGCTGCTCTTCACACCTAGAGAGCACTTAAATAAGCTACTTCAAAGTGCCGTCGTGCCGGACTCCCTCAAGATTTCACATGTGACACCTTCGCGACGACACATCAACGGAGGTTTGATGACTTACCTTATCGTGAATATTATTTATATGCAGCATACATTGAAATAAATATACATTTATGTATATCTTAACGACTTACACATATAACTTTCCAATAACAGGATGAACTCGAGCAATGGAAAAGTATGCTATTCAGATAATGCAATTTGGTTTTCAATAATATTTTTGCCAATGCAGGTTCGAGTGACTTCAAACCAGATTCATTGCACGTGGATAGTTCAATTATCCGAGAATTGAAAGCCTTATGAGAAAAATTGAAAGTGGGAATCGAAGAATTGGGATATCCATAATATCACATATCTCTATTATGGTCGTAAATTTGATTCAGATCGTTCCTCTTGCAATGAAAATTCATCCGTTGCAGGTAAGCAACGTTATGAGCATGAAGCGAGTCATCAAGAATCTTTATGCGTCGTTCAATATGTTGGCTTCGTCGTGCCGTTAACTTTTCCCCGCATTAGTAATCCGTATAAGGAACAAAGGAGTTTGAATTTGCGTAGTATTTAATCATCACAGAAACGTGAACTCGAATGCTCTAATAAACTGACCATGTTCGGTAGCATGTCTTACAGCTCCAGGTAATGATATTCGGTCGGAGGTATGGATAATCTGTACACTATGTTCCAGCAAGGAACTTGTACACAACTAATTATGGTTAAAACTACGGGCGAGGCGGCAAACAATATTGCTATCCTAGCACTTTTGGCTGTATATATCAAGTCTAATGTATTCCAATCTGAAAAGTGATTCATAAACTACAAAGCATATGAGCTTCACTCAAATGGCTGATCGAATACAAATGGTCACCTGAAAAATTGTAATTTACAAACGGGAGATAAGTTCGGGTGCCTGATTTCACTCTGCTCTCATGCAGTATAGAGTTATAAAACACGACATGCATTGAGGGGAAAACCGAGTGTTTTGCATGCTCCATTTGAGCCTGAATTAGCGCAGCTTCATTGTACATATTTTTTAAAGAAGATTTTCTACGTAGAGGTTGAGCGATATAACTAAAGAATGGAATTATTGAGTATCAATAATTTCCACTCAAGTTATTTCTCATGACTCGGCGGTATTGGAGTTGCTAGCGGCGTTGTTTGGAGTATCAATAAAGTTGCAGTGAAGTTATCGGGGGGCGGTCCGGGGGGAGGGGGGAGGCGTGGGCATGGCACTCCACGTATTGATCTGAGCGCAGCGGCGAGCTGGAGGCCTCAGCGGCCCTCAGTCTTGGCCTCACCGTGACGCTCAGTGTTGCTCACGGCCTCTTCAGGCGATCGCGTAAAAACCTGCCCATGAAACAGCCGCGTATACTTTTGTTTTTAGAAGTGTTTTGATAATAATGCTAAGCTTATTGAAAGCCTAGCATTAGCAATGGTAAGGGAGGCAGTAAGTGTTGTGGTTGCTCCATGTTCGCAGTTGCGGTCGCGAGTTTGTCTTTAAGAGCTCGCGTCGCTTGGATGAATGGACGCTTCGAACCGCTGTCGTGCCCCACAGCCTCTACCTGACATATGAAATACTTAACAATAAAGCCGACTTTTTGTAGCTCATCTCTGATAATTTTTATCTAGTTAGATCAAAACATTTTTAGCATTTATCTGGTGCCTGTGAGACTACAATTTGTATAAAAATAAATTGATAAACAATCCCGATGTTGATGTTGCTAGGCTTTACGAACAACCAGCTTAGCGGCCGGAGTCACACTCGGGCTCTGGTGAGAGTCGTGGGCTGTGTTGTGAGTCGTGGGCTGTGTTGTGAGTCGTGGGCTGTGTTGTGAGTCGTGGGCTGTGTTGTGAGTCGTGGGCTGTGTTGCGAGTCGTGGGCTGTGTTGCGAGTCGTGGGCTGTATTCAGCCACTGCCCGCGATGGAAATTATAGACAAAGTAAGCCAATGAGAGCAACGTTCAACTTTTTCGAGTCTCTTCTGATAAATTCAGAATTTTCAAGCCGAGTGCAGCCAAGAATAAATGAAATCTGGTGAACTATTGGTGTTATTTTATTGAATGGCAGAATGGGTTTGGTATTTGATTTGAACTCATGGCTTCCATCAATACCACACGTTCTATATAAATCAGCGTCTATTAATTGTCGATATTCCCCCATTAATTTTTCAAAATTTTCCATCCGCAAAAAGCAGAACGGTTATCTCTACTGACACTTTTCTCTGATGCAAACACATAGATATTCATTATCCAGACGCTTGAGAAGATGTAGAATGGAAATTAATCAGATTAATAAATAATTATTGGCGTCAATAACTAACCTTCGGTCGTATTGACGGTGGTTCATTCAACTCGAAAATTTATTCCTTGAATAGGAAGATCTCGTCCAATAAAATAATAAATTTAGGCCATGACATTCGAAACGTCTAGAAATGAATCACTTAATGTTTTCAATGGCTTTTCCAAAACATCAATAAAGCTACACCTCCATTGCACCAAATCAATATTTATTCACATCCATAGCAACAATTAACTAATGCAAAACTTCCATTGCATCAAATCAGAAATGCTAGACCTCCATAGCACTAAATTGCTAGTGATTTACTGCCAAATAAATCATTCCTCCCTCCTCTGGAGCGATTTAATTAATCCTTAAATTAAATGAAACTGCTTGTTCATTATCATTCTCATAATAATACACAGATTATCCAGTTTGCGCCGAACTACTACGCTCACTATTTTTCAGATGAAGCTCCTCACAGACCTCAAACAAAATTCACAGTATAAGTTAACGAACCTAAAGTCGTAGTAGCATGTTTCTCAGTCCCACATTCATTGTAATACATTCCTTATCTCCTCTCCTTCTTAGAATTTTATTAATCATCCTCCCTTTCACAAAACTAATTTACTTAACCGTACTTTCACACAACTTCATTACGCACGTTAGTTGAACTTCCCAGAAATGCACGATTCTTCAAACGGGTTCCGCGAATGACTGCATGAAGTTCAACCTAAGACGCACGGTGCCCCTTCGTTCGGGCAGTTGGCACGGTCAGTGACAATATTTCCATCATCTCTCCATACATCATTTTTAGTTACCCTAATAAATGAGCAAAATTTATCAAGCCGAAAGTTTCGATTTTCAGCTTTCAGCTCAATTTACATGCACGTAACTTGAGACAGAAAATTTTGGTGCAGCAGCTATACATGCCCAGCCGGTGCAGCAGCTAGGCCCGCGGAACGACCTTGTCCGCATCGATCAGCTGTTGGAGTTGAAGAACCTCCGTCAAGGATAAACGTTGCCGCAGTCAAGGTTACACAGTGTTTGCAATCACATTGTAATGACACCACAGCAAAGGCCAAATGCTACCCCAGTCAGCAATATATACATTGTTAAAGTTATAGGGGGGCTAAAAGCTGCCGCAGTCAAGGATAAATGTTCCCGCAGTCAGAGATGAACGTTACCGCAGTCAAGGATAAATGTTACCGCAGTCAGAGATGAACGTTACCGCAGTCAAGGATAAATGTTACCGCAGTCAGAGATGAACGTTATCGCAGTCAAGGATAAATGTTACCGTAGTCAGAGATGAACGTTACCGCAATCAAGCACAAACGTCACCGCGGTCAGAGCTGAACGTTATTGCTGTCAAGGACAAACGTTGAGGCACTCAAGGCTAATAGCTGCCGCCGTCAGGGCTAGTCGTATTCCCAGCGCAATGGCCTCTTGCTGATGTAGCCAAGGCCGAAGATTAACTGTGTCGTGACAGCAGCATTTTTTTGCAAGGTCAAGTCTCGATGTTCGTTCTTCCGGCTGAAACCATTGCCAGACAGAGACGGCTATTGATTATCTATACCGTGTTTACCTCAATAATAAAAGTAAACTGACAATCTTTTACCCAAATTTTCGCTGCCAATCAAACAGTGGTGCTGAAAACATTAGATTATCTTCATGAATATGATGACTTTACATCAAGTTATTAACTTCCAATAACATATGACTATTTCATCTATACCTATGTATATTTTTCAGAATAAAAACCGACAGAAAATCCACCTCTTGCACTTGATCTTAGTTTAAAATGTTCACCCAGCCTTAGCTGGACATCCTGTAAACCCAGACCTCGACGGCAAGCCCGAGGCTCAGAGCATGAAGACTCCGATCTCTCTCATCGGTACGTACAAACTCACGCGCAAAATTGTTACCAGCCATTAAAAATAACTTTTTTCCCTAATTCTGCATTCAGGGTACATATATTCAAATTGTAATAATTTTCTCATAGCGATTACCGTACGCTCTGAAACCACTTCGCTTGTTGCTCTTGTCTTTAACGGCAGTTGTGTTTAAATATTTTCTTTGTTACCACATTACCTTGATTGCTACTATTGAATAAATCCAATAGATTAACACAATTCAAGGTGAAAAGTAATCTTCCAATGACAAACTTTAAGTTTAAGTTTATAATTGTCGTAGAATGCCTTTTGTATTCATGCGATACTTGAAACTTCGTTCTAAACACCGTAGACTAGTAATCGATTCAATCGGCTCATGGCTGGTAATCTTGATTCGTAAGACCATATATAGCCAAGAATGGAGTGTCCCTTAGAGACATATTTGTGATATAGTTTAATCATTCCATGCGATGAAAGCAATGCGACTTATTTATTTTCCAGTGGTGACAGGAGTGGCAGGAGTGATTGCGAGCTCTATAGTCACAAAAGATGGCGCGGTGAAGCACATGTTTGGCTCAGAACTTCCAGACAGAGGATCAGCACCTTTACTGAGCAGCGCCAACTCCACCAGCCCACACACCCGTGAGCAATACTCTTACGTCACTCACAACCAAGATGAATCTGGCGTGAAAGGCAACGTCAGAGCGAGGAGAAGATCTTCACAGTTCCCTGCAATGGACACGGTTTCCAGCAGACTCCCGAAGCAGAAGGATTACTCTCATCTAGAGCCTCCTTTGGCTCTTCCATCACGAATGGACTTGCCTCAGTACGGAAACGAGGGAGTCGGACTCGATTCCAGTTCTGTTCCTCCCGTATTGAAGCGTAAAGCTTCCGCAATGCAGCGTAAACTTTCTTTCAAGAACCGTAAACCTTCCGAAGTTGATGACAACCAAGAGAAATCGTCGGCGTCATCTTATTCATCGTCGCAGTTGACCGACAACGACTGGTACGGCTCTATTGAAGATGCGTACGACGACGCTAACGATGATCCCCCCAGCCCCTGGCTAGACGACGATGATGAATATGACGAAGAACCTAGGAACTTTCCGAAACAAGCAAAGTCTAAAACGGAGCAAATCAATCCGCGAAAGTTTGAGAAAATGATTGATCACTCCTTGAATCCGCCGAGTCGTCAGAAGGAGTACTTAAAGCGCTTGCTGAGCAGCGTAGACCCTCCAACAATGTCCACCGTAGAAGACCCTGAACCCATCTTCCTGCCAGCTGGAAAAAATAAAAACAGCGTCATTTACTCGTCACTCATCGACATGATCAACATCGCTGAGAATCTGCGCGTCAAGAGACCTTCGGCGTCTTATGATGAGTCTGAGGAAGACAGTAGGTCTGATGTGGATCTTTCCGACCACGACCTCCTCAACGAGCCCGAAGAACCCACCGACCGAGGAGCGAAGCGGAACAGTGAGCATCCTCAGGTGAGAGCAGCTCAAAACACTGATATGTATTCAATCAATTAATACCTAATATAAAACAAATTAAACAGCAATCACTTCATAATCTAGCATAAAACTCTCTTAATTACGTTGCCAAAAAGTAATTTGAGCAGAAAAACGGTCGCATTTGTTCTTTGGTTTGAAAAAGTTATTGAATCGATCGTTGCTGCCGTTCAGGTGGCGCTGGTGCAAGATCGCGGCTTGAGTGACGAGCCGACAGCAGACGACGATGGCGACGACTGGGCCTTGCCCAGGATGGGGCCCTGGGACCCCGCTGACACCCCTGTCGCGACTGCCGTGCTGGGCTCCATTATGCTCTTCCTTATACTTGCCGTGGTCAGTAGTACCTCATTTCCACCAGGGTAATTAGTTCCAAACTCACCACGATAAGTAGTTTTTCAAACTCGTAACGGTAATAATTTTCTAAATTCACCATTGGAAGCATTTTTTCAAACACACCTGCATGGATGAGACCGCACTATACGTATATCCCTCAAGTATAATTGTTTTTATTTACCGGGGGTGATTACTTCTGCAAGATTACCATGGTTAATTACTAATTTCACATAAACATCAGCGAGACTCTACACTTTATAATTCATCGGCTTGAAGACTCTAATAAAAAATGCACATTAGAGCAGAAAAATATTGAGTATCTTTGGGCCTGCGAGCAGGTGGTGCTTGCCCTGCGCGTGCACTGCAGGAACAGAAGTAAGCAGGCGCAGGAGTGGATCAGACATCCCACCATGACCCCCACGCCCCAAGCCCCGGGTGCGGTGCAGCCTTTGATTCATCATCCCCAGCAGGAGCCCATCCGTATAAAGGTGAGTAAGCACCAGCAAGTGTCGATTTTATCCGCTGGGATTCTTCACTTGAAGATCCGTCAAATCTTTACTGATGAAGCCTGAAGTCACTAAGAGCCCTAAATCTGTGCGCATTATTATCCTGAGTCGAAACTTCATCATTTGATTCATCAGCAGCGAAAACCAAAAGGTGTGAAGAACTCATTACACTCTAAAATTGAATATTATACAGGGTGATGATGGACCCAATTTAATAAATTTGTATTGATTTAAGTATGAAGTCAAAATCAGTAATGTATACACCAATTCAAATTTTTTTACTGTTTAATATGTTCCCCATATGCTACACGGCAAACATCTAAACGGTTGCCAAACTTGTCCCACATGCGGGAAAGCATATCATCTCTCCTAAAGGAAAAAGAACAAAGAATAAATAACCTGAACTAACATATAAACGAACAAAAGACAAAGTATGAACAAACCTTCTCATGAATAAATTAATCTAACTTTACAGAATATAACAGAATGAAGAACATCTCGGAATAAGCACAAAATGCAAAACACATGAACAAACAAATAAATAACCAAGTTAAAACACACCTTGACACTGTGGGTTCAAATGCGGGACTGACTAGGACGGACTATAACCTACAAATCTAACTTCCGCATTTCTAAACTGATAACTAAAATTACAGAAATACAAAATTATAAAATACTAAATTCTAACTCCCTTACAACGGTTCTTCAGATCAACCAGAGTTGCGGGTAGAGGCGGGACGTAAACAGAGTTGCTGGTAGAGGCGGGACGTAAACAGAGTTGCTGGTAGAGGCGGGACGTAAACAGAGTTGCTGGTAGAGACGGGACGTAAAAAGAGTTGCTGGTAGAGGCTGGTAGAGGCGGGACGTAAACAGAGTTGCTGGTAGAGGCGGAACGTAAATAGAGTTGCTGGTAGAGGCGGGACGTAAACAGCTTCCTCGACGTAACCCCATAAGAAATAGTCACATGGGGTGAGATCAGGTGATCTCGGTGGCCAGAAGTGTAGAGCCAGAAAAACTTTGAATCTTTCTCTTCCCATCGATGCATAAATTATCCATTTTGAAGTTATACTCGAATAAATACAAATTTATTAAATTGGGTCAATCATTAACAAAAACCATGTAGTTTTAATTAAAGAAGATTTCACGACTAATAATTTTAATTGAGAACATTGGCGCAACCAAAGGTTCTTAATGATGAATTTTGTTGGCAGGCGAAAGGTCTTCTTGAGCGACGAGGCAGCAACACAAGCCTAACTCTAGAGCTGGGGCCTGACAGCCTGGACAGTCTGGTGCCCTCCAGGGAATGGTTAGTACAAGGCTAACAATGTTCTCCACACTCACAGAAATAAGAGCGATTTGTCCAAATAGCGATGAACCTTTTGCCTTTTTGAGGGTCATCGTGACCCAGTTTGTTTAGGTAGGAACGGCGCATCAGTGCTAAGTCCGCTTTCAGGACGTTTTATGTGTAGGAAACTGTCACTATTGGGCAACATGGCCCATCAATTTTTCTTAATAGCCTAGTTATATATACGTTTGAATCGCATTTGAAATTTTTACTATCAACCATTTTTTCATCCCGAGGTAAACGGCATTATTTTGGAATAAGGAACTATTGGGAAGGATTGAAAAGACAGCGAATTGTAAAGACAGAAAATTCAAAAATGTTTTATCTTTTGAAATGAAGACTGCAACAGTTTTTTTCACATTTCTCATCACCTCAACTTTAGTTTTTTATTCCATTCTTCCTTAGTTTACTTTCTCATCCTCTTTAGTTTTTCGCATTTTTCATCAACCATTACTCTACTTCTTTTGTGTATTTATCAGTACGTTACCTTCTAATCGCATTCACTTTACTTAATAACCTCAACCCTTTTTAGTTTCTCATTATGACAAAATTAGTTTCTTACCTCAACCCTGGTTAAGTTTCTTGTCGCATACACATTACTTTCTTATCTCAACCCCCTTATTAGATTACCGTCGCATGCACGTTAGTTTTTTATCACATCCTTGAATTACTACGATCGACTGACGGAATTCTAGGAATGTGTCATTAAAGCTTTGAACGTTGAGAAGAAGTGATCATGCTTGCCGCAGCACCCCCGAGGACTTCCTCCTGACGGCGGGCAACAGGCTCAGCAGGAGGGCGCTCAGGGAGTCCTTCAGGGACCCGCGTCTCCTACACGCCGAGTTCTGGGATATACCTACCAACCACCCCGACAGGTGGGGCTTTAACCTACCCATCTCCCCGCAAGGTGGTGCTCTAACTCACCAAACACCCTGCCAGGTGGGACTGTAACACACCAACCACCCCGACAGGTGGGGCTTTAACCTACCCATCTCCCCGCAAGGTGGTGCTCTAACTCACCAAACACCCTGACAGGTGGGACTGTAACACACCAACCACCCCGACAGGTGGGGCTCTAACCTACCCATCTCCCCGTAAGGTGGGGCTCTAACTCATCAAACACCCCGACAGGTGGGGCTGTAACACACCAACCACCTCGACAGGTGGGGTTCTAATTCCCAACCACTCTGACCCCGACAGGTAGGGCCCTAACCCACCAACCGCTCCGACAGGCGGGGGCTCTGCCACCAATTACCCGTCAGCTCCCACTCAAACTTTAAGGTTTAAACGGATTAAATCAAAGTTCCATTCACGTTGAACAATATTTCACATAAATCTCAGAGTTGTAAACTGTGATTCTAAAAAAAACTTTGAGTAATTTATACTGGTTGATGCATCATTGTTTTAAAATTGAATTATTTTTAATTCAATTTTTCCATTAGATGCGCCGTACCGGGTTCAGCTGCCAAGAACCGTTACAGAACCGTACTGCCCAATGAAGACACAAGAGTGGTTCTCAGGACAGCAACGGGTGAACAACATCCCGCTGACCATTACATCAACGCAAACTACATTAGGGTGAGAGTAAACGAACTTCACATAAATCCCGAGCAAATAATATTTACATCAATTTAAATAACTAACTCGTAAGAAAATCGCCTAATAACTCGTTGCCGATGAAGATGGAGTGTGAAGAGCTGCTTTTGTGCGTGCAGGGGTACGACGGATTAGAGAAAGCCTACATCGCGACTCAAGGCCCACTGGTACACACAGCCGGTGATTTGTGGGAGATGGTGATGCAGGAGAGGGCGAGGGCTGTGGTTATGATAACCAGGCTCAAAGAGAAGGGCAGGGTGAAGTGTGAACCTTACATTCCAGCGTACAGCGCGCAGCACGGCAGCATCACGGTCACTGTTAAACAAGTACTCGAGAAGAACGGGTATTCCATCAGACAAATCCTTCTCAAGGTTACTACATAAATATTAATGTACCTATAAATCAAATCAATGTTCAAGAATCATTTCGTAGTCCATCAGTTATCCAAATTGCTGATTGAAAATGCCGAGTAAAAAATTACGGAATTTAGATAATTTTTCATTTGATTTAGGCATAGTGAAATGATTTACACATTTTCGTGCAAATCATTTCACTATTGATGCGGTATAGAAGATGTACCAGTTGGTGAACGAAATTTTTAACACAAATGGAGTTCTAGTCAATATTTCCAAGCAATTACTTTCAAGGAGTTGAGCTTCTTCAGCTCATTTAATGATAGCATCAGCAAATGAACGATCCTAACGCAACGTATTTATTGCTACGTAATGCCACTTTTTAACGCAATGAATCTAGAGACACAAATATTAGACGACGAGATATTGTTGATTAAAGTCGAAAGGAGTCACTTATTACCAGATGTTAATCCCATAAAATTAACCTGAACAGAAAGGTGACGTGAGCCACACGACACTGCACTTCTGGTTCACTAGCTGGCCTGACCACAAGACTCCGTCGTCTGCTAGACATCTGCTCAACATGGCGACCGAAGTCCACACCACCAGAAAAGTAAGGATTGTGCTCACTGCTCACTTATCACGGTTCATTAGAACGATTTCTGCAACTCATCATAGTTGAGGTTTTCACCAATTAGATAGATTTCTAAATAACCATGATCAAGACCTATACTAGCAGATTTAACTCATCGATACGTTACGTATCTATACGAACATGGAAGATTATATTTTTTGTGAGTCTTCTTTCAGAAATAGCGTAATACGATCAAATAAGTGTCCACTCATGATACAAATGCTAAATCTTTCGCCCATTCGTATTAAAAAGTAAAGTTTTTAATCTGCTATTTGAATAACGAATTAACAGAGTAATTAAATAATTACTATACCACTAAACTAAATATTTATTGATGCAGGAGTCAGAAGGGCCTGTGGTGGTTCACTGTAGCGCGGGGATCGGACGCACAGGATGCTTCATCGCCATCAGCATCGGCGTCCAGCAGCTCCTCGAGGAGGGGGCTGTGGACATCTTGGCGACCGTCTGCCAGATGCGCCTGGACAGGTGAGCTGCGAGACGCATTGTTAAAACTCGAATTGTGACTTATATTAGGGAGATACCTTCGTTGCATTCACAATTCTTACCTTACACAACATTTGGGCATTATTTCAAATGATGAACATGTTGTACTCGAGGGATGTTTTGCAGAGGTGGCATGGTGCAGACTGCCGAGCAGTACGAGTTCATCCATCGAGCACTGGCTCTTTACGAAGCGAGTCTTCCAAATACAACTTCTGACTGACGGCGGGCTTCATCTTCTTCTTCATCGTCAAAGCTGCAACTTCGACAGATCGGTCCAATAGAGCCACCTGCTCAGTTCTGCTCAAATGGCGCCACTTTACCTCCCGCTCAGTTCCGTTTGCCCGGGAAGTCTGATTGCATCACGAACGGAGCCGCTGCAACGAAAATAACCATAGCAGCCAATACTTCAACCACTGACGCAGTTCTGTCATCAACCGAGTCCAATGAAACCCCCAAAGAACGAAATATTAAAGCTTCGTGTTGCCCAGAATCAGAATTAAAAGTCACCGCCGCTACGTGTGGAGCCCTTGATAATACGGCGAACAATAAAGTCGATGTCGTAAGTTACGATGAAGAATTTGCGGACGGTAAACCAAGAGAAATGTGTGCTTTAGGGAACTCCAACAATAAAAATCTAACGTCAAACAGCGAGCACCTGGGTAAGTCTTTTAATTTGTACAATGTGAGCAGCAGCCGACGAAGCTCACTCAAGTCAGACCCTAGCGTACCGGGAGGCGGCCCTTTGGACTGGTTGAGAAACACTTTCAAGTCGCCGTCCTCGTGTCCCAACACCGGAGCCAGGACCTCGCCTACCAATAGTTGCAGTTCTTCAGCTAACGTCAACGGTAACTTAGAAATAAACCAAACCGAGAGATTGTCGCCCCCGGAGAGCAAGAGACAAAGAACATTACTCGAGAAGACCTGCGCCATATGGGAGGGTTTCGAGCCTTTAAAAACTTCGCGCACGCTCACTGTATCAGAATGACGCCAGCAGTCGAGATTCTGAGCGTTGAACGTCACGCAACAAATCCAAATATCTTATTCACATAGAGTAGCTAGTGTACTATGAAATTAGACAAAGAACATTTCAGCTCGTACAATGCAAGTACCTACCGAAAAATTACGCCGGATTAATTTTCAGATAATTTAATCTAAATAACTTTGCGAGTTTAGTTAAAGAAAACGAACAAATAGTTTGTTTCACATAAAATATAATACTTGGTATCTATAAGAGCTTTTTGTGGACGACACCGCTTGGAATTTTTGTAATTAAATCCATCCAACTTCTTGAGAAATATTTATAGCAATACGTTACAGCGCTACTGACAATAAAATTCGAATATATATACCAAATACACAAAAAGACAAAAAGCTTTTCAAAGAGGTGGGATAAGCATACCTCATTACATTCGTTGAAAACAATAAACGTACAAATTGGCCTCAATAAATATGTACGTTAAACGTTAAATTGACCTGCATAAATGGCTCACGTCCGCATTGTGGTTCCGTCGGAGCGTCTGACCATAAGACCGGATCGGCTGCAGGATGCTCAAGAGAATAAAGGCCGCATTCAATGAAAATTTATTAATTACTTTAAGCAAAATGTCTGAGCCGGTAGTGTAAACTATTGCGTGTCAGTTATAAGGAGTGTTTTAATCTATAAGGAATGGTTCAGTGCGTGTGCAGCATAAGTAAAGCCATTGTGTTTTCATTCGTACGTAGATTAAAAATAGAGGCTAGAGCGTTATAAAAATTGTTGTGCGTTAACCTAATTGTTACATGATCACAAAAACCCCATTAATCGAAGAAATAACTAACGCAGAAGTACTTCCAATGCATCATGATCTGCATTAACAGTTTAGAATAGATAAACCGCTATTCATTCCCGCAGCTGCATATAGAGTTCAGTAGATTGTATAAATCAGAAAAAAAATTAGTGGAATATTTGCTTTCCATGTCGCCATTATAAGATTCGCAGGTCTATATTTTATTCTAATGATCTATAAGAAATTATTGATGTTTCAAGAATGGTTCGACTAAATATTAAGTCGGTCAATCTGTTGATATTACGTTTAGAGTTACCGTTGAAAAGTTTGTGTGTAGATTGATGAAGGTATGAACTCGTTAAGTTTATAGTTAACTTAAATAAGATATGTTTCCTTATGTCTAGTATACACGGATGATCTATATTATATAACTATGTACATTAGAGAACTGTGGTGGTTACACACAAGAAACTAACTTAAGCTGAAGTGTCTATTTGTTATTTATGTGTGGTAGTCTAAGGCATTGTTTTGAAGGTAAGAAAAATCCGGAGAGAAAATTTACGGCACACCTAATGACGACTGCCGTGGCACATCAGACAAAACAGTTTTGCACCACGCATCGCCTTTTCAATCAAATATGACAGCGAAATGATTTACTTGTCACGTCATAATTTTGTATACTTTAGAATTGAATAAAAAAAATCAGTGAGTTTACGCCAAGTTCGAAGCGATTACAACACGTAAACTTGTATTTACAGGTTTGAAGCCTGATGTTTCCACAAGATCTGCTTAATCTTGTATCAAGTCGACGCAACCAATGAACAAATTTTCTAAGTTATGCCCGTTTTCATCAGTCTCGATGATCGAAGTTTTCGGCTACTGTGAATATAATTTGCAGAGATCAAAGTTTAATTGCGAATGATTGACCGATAGATTCGTTGATTTACGACATGCAATCGTTGTCGAATATTTTGTTCTGACTTTTAAAGCCTGTCTTAGCCGCGGCGTGAAATGAATCAACTGGAACCCTTTTAGGACGTCTATTAATACGATAAATTCGAATTAAGAGTCTTCAGCTCTGAAGCAAATTCATTCAAATATAATAACTTTGCCCTGAAATACAAACCTTTCTCTCGTCCTCGCTACCTACATTATCTTTCCCTCTCAATGTCCATATTTTACAAGAACATCTCGCTGCGAAAACAGCGCCGAGATTTCTAGCTTCATAGTGAAATTGTGCGGCGTGTTGGAATTCGTAACATCATTGATTTCAAAGAAATTTACGGCATCAAACTAGCCCCATGAATAGTTCAATTTCGAAGTTATGAGCATCAAAGATTGTATAAACTATCATATTTTAGCTCAATCCTACCCTAGGAAAGGACCTCGATAAGAAAAACTCAATTCAATATCGGATTTAAAAAGAAAAAGAAGTGCAAGAGAATCGAGTATCTAAGCACAGAATTGTGAATTTCTTCTATAGATTTGTGTTAAGCCTCGTCAACATTTGACACTAGAAGACAAGTTTCTATAGAAGGCAAGTTTCGTGATCCACTTCGTGGCAGAGATCAACATAAGCGACATCCTATCATCGAATGTCTGTTCTTTCGCTGAGATGGCATCGCCTCCCGCGTGCTGACAATAAATAGACAGAATTAAATTCATGATCGGTCATTGTTCGTTTCCATTACCTAATTTTCTGCCCAAGAGCATGATGATGATAATCATCATACCTTTGATAATGATGACATATAAGTTAGGAGACTTATTTCACTTAAAATAAACTAACCGGATCGAGTAAAAAATGAAAGATTTCAAGATTGGATGGAATATTAACAATAGGCACAATTTCGCGACTTTATGCTCGAACATTTTAGTTTCCATGAATTTCCTTATAAGTCAAGGTTCAGAAACAATAGAGCATCACAAAATTAAGGTCCTAGTTGGTAGACTGAGTTTTTTTCAACGTGGCATTGCAAGCTGAGATCTAGGCCATAGATCTGCCACATCATAAAATGAATTCTTTGATGAATAATAATAAACACGACTTCTTAATTCACTGGGTAGAGTTCGGCGCAGCTGGAGTACATTAAGTCTCTTGGTCCAGGGACAATTAGGAACAAAATACACTGAATAAATGAGCATTTATTAACTGCCGTTTTATCCAAGTATAAAATGTGAAGCAATCGAAATGATGAATGTATGGATGAAGTCATTTGGCGCAAAATTGTTTTGGAATTTGTTGAAACTAAAAGCGGACAAGTGAAGAGGAATAAATTGAACATAAATTTCATATGTTTCAGTCCTAATTTCTTGATAAGAAAGTCATCAGCAGCCATGACGCGCTGCTTCATTACAAAAATACGCTGATAAAATGAAACTTTTTCGTTTGTACTTACAAAAAATGATAAGAAACGCAGGAATCCTACAATTCAAAATGAAAGTTACAGTTCGCAATTCAATAAACTTGTTAGGTTTAATTGAAAATAAGATAAGAACTTTAAGATAATATGACAGCAATTACCAAATTTTTCATGATAATTACAAATATTATTGACCGGATGATCGGGAGAGAATTGCGGCTTAGGTGAACGTTAGATGAAAATGAATCCTTGCTATCCTTGAGTGATCTCGAGTTCCTTCATGAGCAGCGCCCTCTTCTTCTCGAGCTCGTCTTCGCTGAGCTCGCCCTCCTCGACGCTGCCAGCTCGTGACGACGAATGTCCTGCCGCCTTAGCAGGCGCTGCTGCCTCGGCCGCTCCTCTGCCCAATCAACGACGAATGTCAATCAAGAAAATTTCTTGTCCAGTAAGCCACATTCAACTCGAGGTTCAAAAATGCGTACACTGGGCGCACTAAAAATCGTTGGATTTAAATTATTTCGTCGGGAATTTCAAATTTTCAGCTATGGGGTGCAGAAATATTCGCAATTAAGTAGTCACAACGTTCAAGAGCCTTCGCTTCTCATGGATCAAATATGAAAGCGGGGAACAAAAGCCTATCGTCACTTCTTTTCATGCCTCGACGAAGAAGTTGAGAGCAGCGGCCAAGGATTATGATTATCATGTTTAGAATAATCATAAGCTCATTTTAACGGCCACTATCATACACTTAGTAACACATAACATGGCTACAGGAAGATAAAGTATTTATAAGAACATGTTTGTTTCTGCACGTTTCACTTATTGTGGGAACACGTAGAAAGGAAAATAACCATTGCGAGCCATAATACGCTATGTTTGGTAATTACATAGTGGATATGACTGGACGTTTTATAGACCGCACGACACTTCAAACTGCATTTGATTTCATGAATAAATTAATATTTATTTCGACTATACTGAATGGAACGTTATTCAGGGAGATTTTTAAAATAATTATAATTTTCAGTAATTACAACTACATTATCAATTTTTATTGAAGCAGAGATAATGGAAGTATTCGCTTACCAAAGGAATGCAATCAACATTGGTATAAATTTGGTCCAACTGTCTGTGAAAATATTCAACGCATTAGCGACTACAACACAATTCAGTACCTATGAATTTCGATCACTTTAAATGACAGCAAGTTGGGGTGAAACATTCGAGGTCAATTACATTCCATATATTCTTAAAACGGGGCGGTCGATCATCTATCTTCCTCTTTGGTCTCTGACGGCGCGTTGTTTCCTACAGTCAGGCATCGCTGCGGACTGGCAGCAGGCAATTCCAGGCTAACTTCTTAACAAAATTACCATAAAGAAATCAAGAGCACTTCAATCAAGCGCACACGGCAAAAAAGATTCGTCACTGAAGCGAATAGAATCCAGCCCTAAAAAATTGTCTTCAATTTTCTTTGAATTTATTATTACCAATTTCAGTATTTCCTATTATTTAGTCATTTTAGTGTTCAGGTTTCTGTACAGACTCGCCGCATTTCCATCAAGTTCTCGGGAAAATAGGGTACTAAAATATTTCATAAGACCGCCATGTAGAAACAATGAACTTTATTAATTAAACGTCATTACGGCAATCATAACTGAACATTGTACAGGATAAATCCTTCTAACTTAAAGTTAAGAAAAGAATGACTAACGACGCTGCAAAGTACGCCATTGTTTGACAGATCATTTAGACAATTTAGTCCACTTCGTTTTCTCAATATACGAGAGCACACATACGGATGCCACAAGAATTAAAATCCTTGCTTTAAATGTGAAGCAAACTCATGCCTCACCCAGCACAGTGAGGCAGCAAACTCATGCCTCACCCAGCACAGTGAGGCAGCAAACTCATGCCCCACCCAGCGCAGTGAGGCAGCAAACTCATGCCCCACCCAGCGTTGTGAGGCAGGCCCTATCTACCACTTCGCCTTCTGAGGCGTGCGGAAACAGAGAGAGGCATGACTAACGCCTCTCCTCGCATGGTGAGGCATGGTGAGGTATGGTGAGGCATGCTGAGGCAGGACTCACGGGTATTCAGGAGACTTGCTGCCTCGCCTCTTCTTCTTCTTGGAGTAGCGGCGGCTCGAGGAGACGTGCGAGTCGGCGCTGCTCACCGAGCGCTGGCGGCATATCATAAAATTATTCGTTATAATCACACAACAAAATTAAGTACGAAATTATCTGGCACTTCAAGGTGAAGTAAATAACCCATGAACATCCATAAACATGAAATTGATATATAATAAGAGGAGTAAATGCGTAGAGGCAACGTTAAAAATTAGTCTATCATAAGATAAACGAAAAACAAAAAGAAACATTAGACTATCATAAGTTAAACGAAGAACAAAAAGAAACATTAGACTATCATAAGTTAAATGAAGAACGAAACGAAACATTAGACTATCATAAGTTCAGCTCGCGCGGGAAGAAACTATCGAGAGCGATGGTCAGAACCAAGTAATAAAATAACATTTAAGAGAAAATTAATAAAACACTGAATCCTTTCAATGTAGCAGAGAGCAAAATTTCCAGATGAAAATTGCATACTGGATTAACAGCATGACAAAGAACAGTTCACAGCATGACAAAGAACAGCTGACAGCATGACAAAGAACAGCTGACAGCATAACAAAGAACAGCTACCAACATGATAAAGAACAGTTCACGGCATGACAAAGAACAGCTACCAACATTACAAAGAACAGTTCACGACATGACAAAGAACAGTTCACAGCATGACAAAGAACAGTTGACACCAAGACAAAGGAGAGTTGGCAGCATGACACAGAACAGCTGACAGCATGACACAGAACAGTTCACGGCATGACAAAGAACAGCTGACAGATGACACAGAACAGTTCACGGCATGACAAAGAACAGCTGACACCACGAAAAAGAAGAGCTGACAACATGACAAAGAACAGCTGACACCATGACACAGAACAGTTGACGGCAGGCAAGCATCACAACTCACAGAGCGGCTCGTGGCCTTCTTCTTCTTGGACTTCTTGCGTTTGTGTGAGCGGTGCCGCGATGCGTACGCATCACCTTCGTTGTCGCTGTAGCTCCGGTGACGACTTCTGTGTCGCGACTCGCTGCCAGAAGACGCGCCTCCCGACTGTTGGAAAAGGTAGTGTAAAGTTTGTACGTCCTTGCGTTTTTGAATCTTTCAAAACATTGCACACATAATACATGAAGTCAAATAAATCAGTACATCATTTGAACTGTTGAAAACATATATTTTAAGGAGCAAATTATATGGAACATTTTGAAACCCTTGGTAGCTATTGATCTAATTAAGAAATGTCCTACTATAGGCATCAAGTATGTCTTAGGTTGTGAACACAATAAACTCTGATCTATAAACTTGGAACGAATTATAAGGTAGCATCACCTAATGCGATAAAAACTGGGCAACTGGAATTCCACTAGGAAATGTCGTCATGAGGAAAAATGGGCACATTCCCCAGAAATAATATGACGAAAAATCGGAATAGAGCCAATAAGTCATTATTAATTAGGTTTTCTTGCCCCTGTAGGGAGGAGTTAAGAGTTGAAGAGGAGGTGGAGCTGGTGAGGAATTAGAGTTGGAGAGGGGCTGGAGTTGGGGAGGGATCATAGTTGGAGAGGGGTTGGAATGGGACAGGAATTAGAGTTGGATTAGGCTGAAGTTAGGGAGGAGTTTAAGTTAGAGAGATGAGAGTTTGGCAGGATGAACTACTGACGTCGTTGCTGCGGGACCGCGAGCGTCGTCTATCCTTCTTCTTGTTCTTCTTCTTGGAGCGCGAGTGATGGTGGCCACACACCTCCTCCAGTTGAGCTTGGTACTCCTGCTCGGGTTCAGGGTACAGGCTTAATTCAACTAGCTAATACAAATTAGCCTTCCTGGTAGCGAGTGAATAAGACTCAATGTTTATATATAATACCTTGAAAGATGCTTCAGTTGTAACTTATGAAAATCTCCCCAATATCAGCCATATATATTTAGGCTTAAGTTTAGTCCAATATGGAAGTACCTTTCTAATCAAAATATTCTATATTATCATAACATTTCGATTTTCGATCATAACATTTGACGAGGGCCCCAAGCGGCGCACCTTGAAGACGCGCATGCGCTCGGCCTCGATGTCTATGGCGGTGAAGGCGGGGTCGTCAGCGATGCGCGGCCTCAAGTCGTCCCACTGCGTCTCGGGTCCCACGCCGCTGCTCTTCAGCAGGCCACGCAGGCCGCCGTCCAGCCTGCGCTGTCGCCGCGCCTCTTCTTTCTGACGCTCTCGCTCCCGCGCTTCAGCCTGCACAACACAATAACACTTAAAGCCTGCACAACACAATAACACTCAAAGCCTGCAGACCACAATAGCGCTTGAAGCCTGCGCAGCACAATAACACTCAAAGCCTGCACAGGCGTTGTAGGAGACCCACATTCTCCATCAAGGCATTGTAGGTGACCCACCTTCTCCATCAAGGCGTTGTAGGTGACCCACCTTCTCCATCAAGGCATTGTAGGTGACCCACCTTCTCCATCAAGGCGTTGTAGGTGAGCTTGACGTTGCCAGCGTCGAGGGTGGCTGAGCGTGCGTCATCACACACGACCGTCGCAAACTCCATGAAGCTCGTCTTTACCTGCGTGTATTGTTATCCCTATTTTAATAATAACCTTCAATAAGACAATAATATTCCAATAGTAACAAGAGCACGAAAAAAATCATTACTTTTTACTTCGATTACTTCTGTTTTACCATGTCATGATTACAAAATTCATTACAGTACTTGGTGTCTGAGGCTGAATGTTACATCTTGACAATAAACTAATTATCATTCACAATGAAATTAAGCAATATCATTACTGAAAACTAGCATGCATGCAAAATAAAGTAGAAGTGATGGCATTTGATAATCAATCATATAAAACATAAGACAATCATGTGGCGAGGAATTATACATTGACAAATAAAACTGGTACACAAATAAGCTGGAAAATCCAATAACAATACAAGAAATGCAACGGAGAGAGAGCTCAAGCACTGACTTGTACGTCGAAGTTCTTCTCCTTCAGAATTTCCTTGATGATTTTTTTCTCGTCGTGGAAGCGCGACTTGAGATCCGCGACGTAGAACTTGAACAGATCCAGTGGCGTGCTGCCGGGCTGCCCTAGCATCTGCGAGAACCTGCGCAGCACAGGAACAGGTTAAGCACTGGGTACCGAGTTACTGAGATATTTAAATCCCAGCAGCAAGCAGGTTTGAAGAGGGAAAAGTTAAATGTTAGAGTGAACACTTTAATCAAGTGCGAATGATTAATATTAAGCTTATGAAGTGCGAAAAATGAATATCAGGCCATCAAAATGGTCTGAAAATGTTCGGTATATCTGACGCAGCAGGTCAAATCATATGTTTAAACCAATGAAAAAAATAATCTACAAATTCAAGGATTTTTTGCCGCGGTTAAAGTCAAGGACATAATGCCAGTAAAAAGTAAGGTGTCATGTCAGTCCGCGGCTTGCAACTCGATGAATATAGAAGCCTTAGAACCTCAAGTCGGTGTCAGACCCAGTACCTGATGTCAGCATCAGACCCAGTACCTGATGTCAGCATCAGACCCAGTACCTAATGTCAGCATCAGGCCCAGTACAGTACCTGATGTCAGCCGAGATGATGGGGAAGAGCTCGACCCAGAGAGACATGGAGGTGAGCTTGCCCTGGTCATGCAGGGAGTCGAGCAGCGCCACGAAGCTGTCCCGACACTTGCGTTGCTGGCGCTTCAGCCGCCGCTTCTCGCGCTCGCGGTCCTCTTCCTCCTCCTCCTCGAGCTGCTTGATGTGCTCCGCGAACACGATCAGTGCGTCCTCCTTGTCCATGCCTGCACGTTTGCTCAAAATTTTGTATCTTTCATACACGCACAAATTCTGGATTGATAAGACTGCCTGATATATTTTTCATGGCAGGTCCATGGTTTCATGTTTGGTCAAAATAAGTAGCGTTCTTACCTTCTATTTTAGATTAATAATACGTCGGTCTTCTAGTCAATGCCTGAATATTTGGTCACAGAAAGTATAATTTATGCACCTGAATTCTAAATTAAAACACTTCAATATATTAGAAAAAACTGAAATGGTTTTTCACATGAAAAGCTTTCAGATAAATTATTCAAGTTGTAAAATTTATATGTTGAAATTTTACTTATTGGTTGCAATATTCTTATGGGCATGCTGATTGCTTTCCACAAGCAACTACCAAAAAGAAACCAACATTGCAGATCAGAATAAATAATACTAATTTTAGAGTTACCGGGCGTAGAAGCTCAGTGGCATTTAAACGATATTGTGGCACAAGTTGCATAATGCCACATAGCATCCTAAGTAGTTAACCATGCAAGGAAGAGGCAAATTGATTCTTCAGGAATATTTGTCGAAGGCTCCAGAAATATCTCAACCTACCCATGAAGACTACTCGGTAAATATCTAATAACTAGATTCCTAAATGAATCAGAAACATCATTACAGCTAATCACGTTGTGAACGATGGATGTCGTTCACCGTCATTAGCATTTATTTATTTTTATTCAGTTGTAATTGTACGGCCACGCATGGCGTAGTCGCCAATCTCATTTAAGCGGCAAATACGTAGTAAGAGGTCAAGTCTGTACGGCTGTGACTGTGAGTCGAGTAGTTATTTGTTTCCCGCCAGCCCTACTGTGACTCGCTGCCCACTCTGTTTTGCAGACTCGCTAGTGATCTTGTGCCCTACAGCAAGATCTTGTGGATGTGCTGCAAGAGCTTTATTAACCTGTACATGGACCATGAATATGCCTGTTATGCTGATTTTGCTATTTTAAACGAATTGCTTTTTAAAGTGTTTCTTACCGAAACAAAATTTTTTATCCGTGTAAAAAAACGAAGTTTTCATAAACCACTAGAAGCAATACAGTAGCAGCGACAGGAACTTTTATTTCGATCGTGTTTAACAAGACAGGAGGAACATAAAGCCATGAGGAAACGCAACATGAAGGTTAGATTTTAGTAGAATATTTGTCAGGCCATTGTTTCTATAAGTATCATAATATTAATTTGTATTTAATATATTAATTTTCTTTTTTAAAAACGCTATTATCAATACAATGCAGGTATAATGACAGACTAATTACCAATACTTGAGTTAATATGATAAAAAAGAAGTATATTAATTTATACAATATAATTGTTGTGAGCAACGCCAGGATTACGTGGCAGAAACGCCCATTGTTCAGTTCTTATTGAAGGTTTACACTCCATATATGGACATGGCACAATCAACATTTAACGTGAAAGTTATCATAAGACTTATTAGACTTATTTTTTTAGTGAACTCATAATAGACGTGGTTTCAATGTCCTATGCCCGTGTAGGATGGTATCCTTTGACTCTGTAGCCAGCAGATCCTGTAGAACACAATATAAATATAAATATAAAATAAAAGGTAGGCTGCCATCGTAGGAGTAGAGGATTGGATGCTAGAAACCTAAAGTCGCCACCCGAATGGCAGTTTCACTTCACATCGTGGCCATGTTTTTCACAAGCGATTCGTCCTTGCCCCGCATTGCCTCGGTTACAGCGTTATTATACAGTAAGAGAGAAAGTTTCACAACATTTGGCCGTATAGCTCATGGCCGTCTGACAACATTGACAAGTTTCGTCGATGTCCGGTGTGACAACGTCAACTTTTAAATATTCTCCATCTGCTGTTTTTCCCCGAGCTGCTAGATAGTGAAGCGATAATGGTCTTATAATTCTTTTATAGGTGACCACTAAGCCGGATTTGAGTGACGCTATGTTTCTCTCAAACATTAAGAAATAAAAAAAGTTTCCCTGTCCCCGGCATTGAATGCAGTTAGGAGTAACTCACTGAGCAGGTCGGTGTCTTCGGCAAAGACGGGATTATCAATGAGCATTTGCTGGGCCTCCGACCAGGTCGTTTTGAATGTGATGTTCGTCATGCTGTCCAGGATCTCGCTCAGCACCTGCAGAATAACTCTATAGATGAGAACCTAGTATCATTTGTAGTCTAACTATATAAATAATGTTAAGAGATATTTTCTTCATAACAATCATGGCATTTAGTATCTCTTTCAATAGGCAGCCAATCTTACGTCAAGTTTATGTCTTTATTGTCATAGATAATTATTATGAGTCATTAAAAATGAATAAATTTCAATCATTTATCTGTATAAAAAAATAAGGTATGCTAACTACTTTTGGACATATTATTTACAGCGTTTATATTTTGTGCAGATCTATAAGCTATTGCCACCTCATCCTGCAAATCATAACGTGGAGCATAGACTTATTCCTTTGCACACGATCCAAAAAGCTTAATCAATCACAGAATATAATCGTAAGCATAGAATATTATAGCAAGACATGTAATATTATTGTAAGACCTATGATATTCTACTAAAATCTAACCTTCATGTTGCGTTTCCTCATGGCTTTATGTTCCTCCTTCTCGCGCTTGGCGAGGCTGAAGACAACGTCTTCGTAAATGTCGCGGCGCTCGGCCTCACCCACCGCCTGCCACACCTGAACGAACACCACCAATCCATCACCCTCATGCACGAGATCAAGTTATTAATTATAAATACTACCTTCTTCTACTAAAAATATTCAAGTAAAATATTATCTCTTCAGTCAATAATCAAGTTATTTACTATCGCCAAATCACAGATACGACGTCAGAATACTCTACTGATGGACTACATCAGGCTAATCTACTGATGGACGAGCACTGAAATTCAAAAACCTTTTGATAATCTGGCCATTGATAGATAATTAAATATACAGTCTTGACTTTATTGCGAGAGCCTGCCACAACAACCGCTAACTAGAAGTGATCTGTTGGGCTGACACTCTGAACGAACAACAAATACAACTCTCAACTAGGCCAACACCTGCTGTATACTCACAAATTCAACGCAAATTGCGCACCAGAATTATACGAATTTCAACATTTCGTGCACCTACTACCATGTGTAACAAATAGATTTTCGTACCACCTGCATATTGTGTCATCTTACCAGGCGCATCACTTAGGCTCGTGCACCGCATACTTTGAGCTTAAGTTTCTGAGCTTCAGGTCGCTTGTTAGGTTTTACGTCCCACAGGTTTAAGTTGAGATCCTTACTATATGATGGTTGCCTTCTTAGCATATTGAAAAATGTTTAACCAGAACGCTCATAATTCTCTTGTTGAGAAACAGAGGCTATGGAGAGTCAAATTGTTGAATCATTTTGTAATGGTTCATTGAAAAGCTAACAGATATCTTTTATTACTGATCAGTCGTGGCAGCAGTAACACTAAGACTAAAGTACTCACTTCGTAGTGGTGGAAGAGGTCGTGGCAGCGGTAGTACTTCACACTGGAGTTCATGCGTTCGTTGTTCAAGAGGAAGTGTTCCAGATCTTCTTTTGCCTTTTTGGCCTTCAGCCGTTGCTCCTCCTGATGAAGTAAAATTCACATTTTTGATACAAATAATTTAATTGTATTATTACATAGAAATAATCAATTTCACTTAATTAATTTTAGAGTTCTGGGCCAGTAATTATATTGAGCGGCAAAGTACAAACTTCGTTTCAAACCAACATTCAAACAGCCTGTGTGGCCAACTTTTATAATATTTTTTGCCACATGACACGTCTGCTCACCGCGCCACACATCTGCACGCTTCACCTCACCTCTAAGTTAGTCTAAACGCCCATCAAAACAAAGGTTACATTCATCACTACGACCTGTAGAATGACTTGTAGACAAGGGTGGAGCGTTTGATATACGATTCATACATAATCTAAACGCCTACCTTCACATAACCAAAGCGTAACACTAGGTACTCTTAACCACCAATGTTAAACCAAACGCTGCTTAGCACACAGCGATTGCCTCACTTTCTCCTCCTTCGCTCGATGCACTTTGTATGAGTTGAAAGCCTGCTTCTTTTCGTTGAGCTTCGCGTAGGACTGGTACATGGGGTCGTTCTGGATCATGCGGATGGCGCGCTCCCATGTCGCGTCGCTCGGCACGCCCTAAGGATCAGAAGTCATTCAATACTTATTTCATTGGCAACTTAAACTGCAAGTTCACCAAGAATATTAAAGCATGGAAAATGACCGATAAATCTTCTATGAAGATATGGTGAATTTCTTGCGTATTTTCTTTGTTGTTAAATTCTCGTTAATATAAGGCCATTTTGTGTTTTGCTGGGATAAGGTGGTTAAATTTACTGCAGAAAAACAGCAACAAAAATGTAGCGGGTAACCGATGGCAGTCGTAAATATATGTCTTTGTTGCCTTTGAACGTGCTCCACATCAAGAGAAAAATGAAGAGAATTAACAGATGAAGATCTTGCGCCAAGCCAAAAAGTTACTGACACTTTTTGCATTTACAAAACATTTGCAGCTACTTCTGCACTAACGCTTCACAAACTGTGTACCTGCGTGGCTAATGCCCCACTCGAGAACAATAAATACACTCTGTATAACAAATATTTTCTTGAAGGAACACAAAACACATCACGGATGCTCCTCAGCAGAACAGAGAACACACCTTTTCCTTGAGGAACTCTTTGAAGGACTCGATGGCCTCCCGCTTATCCTTGAACACCAGCAGCTTGCGGTCAGTGGCAACAGATGGTTTGACTGCACAAATAAGAACAACTGTTATAACCCTGTTGTTATAATTTATTCTAGTATTTCATATACAAATGTAACCAGACACAACATTATGGAGCTCAAGATTTAGAAATGGATTATTCTCGTGTAGGTATATTGCACTCATGAAGATCAACAGCAAATAAATACAGCACAGTAATGCTGGGAGATGAAGGGAGCACAGGCCAGCGTAACAATACGTGAACGTGACACAAAATTAGAGCTGCAGTGCGCAATGCAGAAGACCAAGAAAATGGCATGCATAACACACAAAACTGGAGCCATGAATTCTTAATACTCTTGATTCATATAATTTTGGATTTAAATATATTAAAAAATTTCCGCACGCAATAAGCCTTGCTTACTACCATGAGATGAAACTGCACAAACAAACAGGAAATTTCCAACACATAAGAGATACAGGTTGAGGAAGAACTAATGTTACAAACATGTTACAATTGCAGAAAAAAACATAATGACAACAACAATGAGGATCAACCCACAAAATCTATCAAGCACCACATACCACAAAAAAAAGTGAATTATGGTATAGGGCAAGAAGACAGAAGAAGTGACACTCTATGCTACAGGTGTCATGTCAACACCAATACAACTGGGATAGGTTCCAACGGACCAGTGCATGGGAGCTGTGGTAGTATCCGTAGTGAGACAATGAACTTGGTTACTCTACGGCAGTGCAGTGGTGAGCACTAGAACAGTACAGTTCTGATACAACAAATCACTCAGTACTGCACTACCAATGAAGTAGGGCAGTCAGTGCAGTACTGATTAGGTCCTGCCAGACTACAACACTAACCGAGCGCTGCAGAAGGGACTGGAGAAGAAGAAGTTTCTCGAGGCCATATTTCAGTGAGTTGCTCCACTGCTGCAGCAGCGTCACACAAGCGCATGAACCATCAGGGTTATGAATACATACGCTTCTAACTAATCAACTTAGCTAATATAAAGACATAGGTAACTCGCCCTATTTGGGCATACTGATTAATAGCCCTCTTGCTAAGAAAATCGTAAGTAAAACGCAATTTGACAAAAAATACAGCACCTAAGCAATTCAATTTTTGGATATAATTAAATTGATGTAATATATATCCTTTATGCAAGCTTTTAACGTTATAACTGACTGCCTAGCATCGCAGCTACCTGCTACTATAAAGCTATCCAGATTAATGCATAAAATGTATTTAGAGCTTCATGAGAGGGCAGTCAAGATGAGGAATTTTTTTTTGTCCCTGATTAAAAATAATCATACTAATTTTTGGGTACAGGCACCATACAATTATTCACCAAGGTTCCAAATACTATTCACCAAAGTTCCAGAACAATTTCGACTGCTGTCAATTAGGAAATATAAAATTTTTAAGTTTACAGGTTAGAAAAAATGCAAGAACCATAGTGCACCCGATCAGAGTCATAACAATGAAGAACCGAATAGCACACTGTAGTTAGTATACAGTATCTGTATAGTTCAGCCATTGACATTTCCTCAACATTAGATGCTGCTTTAACGAATTTTTAGTGCGTAGCTGGAGCTTAATTTTATCTGAGAGGCAACACATGAAAAGCATTACAAGAAAGAGCCAAATTCCCATTTGATCACAAAAGAGGCAGTTGAACACAATTGTGGATGAGGGCCAATTCGATTTATTGACTTGTTCTCGTGCCTATAAAACTTAGGACAAAGAATGGTAAGCAAATCATCGACCAGATATATGCATTATATGAAGGCTTCCGAACACAAAAGTTGATATGCACCACTATTTACAGAGGTTGTCAAGTTGTTAAGCAGTTCCCTCCCCATTTATTTATGTCGAAGCCTTCAAAATTCTGGAGTCTAGGTCAGAATTAACTCCTGTTGTTCCGTGACTAAAACTACCTACATTGATCCTTTATCTATGGACGGTAGCTTTGTTTACGAGCCTATGCCTTATCAATATCATAAGTAAATGATTAGTGATATATACACACAAAATATAGAGAATAATATATATCAATAAAGAACAAGGTTTGAAAACTCAAGCACTGACTCTGCTTGCTGGGGGAAGGCGAGGAGCTGTGGACGCTGCTTTGGTCCTCCTCGGCGGGCGCTTCTATGGCGGCCAGTGTGGCGGCCATCGCTTGCTCGATGGCGGACGGCTGCTTGCTCTTGCCTTCATTTCTGACCATCATCAATATTAATTATATATTGGTGATACACATGAAAATAATTGTAACTTTATTATTGCAGGGAATTTCATACTATTACCTTCTATGTCTTTCAAACAGCTGATTTCCTCATCATCATCTTCCAGAAAAACATAAATTGTTATCATGAGCCATACCATTTCAACTCCATCAAGGAAGTTGTTTCAAGAACTTTATGATGATGGGTGAAGTTGGTAACAGATGCATTTCTTAATTCAATTTAAATGCATAAAGCAACCAACTTCCAGAAGACATTCCTCAATAAAACCAATTAACAAATGAAAAAAATGTCTAGGTACCAAAATTAACATGTATAACATTCAATTTATAAATATGAAACAACACAATCTTTGATGCCTACAACAAGCAACTTAACTTTAAAAAATGTGGCAAATAGGTGAAATATTTCATTAAACTGACCCTGGCAGTTCTTCCGCTATTTTAGCTTTAAGTTCCTCAAGCTCCTTAGGGATGGTCCAGCGAGACTCCTTAGTGATGACATTGTGGTAGTAAGTCTTGCTGCTCTCACTCTTGTACTCCTTCCATGGGCACTGCGATAGCAGAAGCTGCACACAAACATATGCATTATTACCAATTGATTATATCATAATCAGCCAAATGCTGAACTTTTAATTCTTTCATAGCTACTATAGAAACAACATAAGCAATCTTGTATTTTTCACTCAAATTGCATTATAAATAAATTTATGGTAATGAGAAGCCCTAGATGAAGAATCCATTTCAAATCAATATGTGTAAAATTATTTAGTTTAAAAATAATTGTCCAATGGACTTAGGATGACTTTTTTGGAATTGTTAGAACGAACCTCGGCAGGGGTCTTGAGTTCATCAGGCTTCTCCCAGGAGCTCTGTTTAGTGACAGAATTATAGTAATAAATGCGGTTGTCTCCTGCCTTGTGTTCCGTCCACACACTCGCCTTCTTACCACTATTGTTCCTGGAAGAGCACAAGTTTATTACCAACAACTTAGATAATAAATTTAAAAAATATAGTGTTTAATATTTTCAATTTACTTGCAAATGATTAATTAATTATAGAATAAAATCATAGACGAGATTATGTTAAAATATTTGCAAATCAGAGTATGAATGTATTTTGACCACTTCACACATAAACAAGTACCTATACAATTAATTAAAAAACAAGTCAGGTCATGAAATCTCAGAGCATGTACGTTCAATAATGTTGATATTGTACAGAAAAATGAATTATGAACAATGGTCATGTCAGACTCAATAGAATACCGGTGATAACACGAATTGTGTTTGCACTTACTTGGCAGTCTCTTCCTTGGATGGAGTTGGTACAGTGAGAGGATCACTAGCCTGAGGTGCAAGAAGAGGGGCTGGACCAGAGGGAGGGAGGCATGGTGGGAGAACAGATGGGGGAAGAGAGGGGGCAGCTTGGGGGAGTGCACCAGGAGGAGCTACATGAGCCAGTGGGGCTTGAGTGGGAGACATGTGCAGGCTGGGGGAGTTGCTGTTGGATGACGCATTCAGAGGAGGAGCTACACTAGGCAGTGGAGAGCCTCCTTCACCTGGAATAAATGTGGTAAGTTCAAGATTACATGTTCTGTTACAGCTGAATTAAAAAGCATACAAAATAGCATGTGTTGTGATAGATAATGCAATGCAGCATAAAAAGATAAAAAGTCTTGCTGATAATGAGGTTATAAGTATGATGCAAGTTTGCTCATTTTTCCAAAAATAGTTAACTGGAGCTACCGGGAGGGGGTCCAAATTGAGCTAAAAATGCTGGTGGTGGTAAGGTGAAGCCACCAGGAGGTCGTGCAAATGAAGGCGGCGGCAGCCGAGGAGCAGCAAGTCGTGCTGGCTGTCCAGTCATTGGAGGCCCAATATAAGGGCCTGGGGGTAATGTTGGGGGAACAGCACCCATAGCTCCAAGAGGAGGACCTCCTGGAGGATTCTGCAAACAATAAACTAATTATTTATACACAAACTTTGCAGTTTTTGCCATAAGCAATAGGTTTTTTTGAAGTAAAATCATAACAAGCAGTCAGAATTCATATAATAGAATCAAAATTAATGCCTCAGCTCATTGCATTCTAACTTTTAAGTCACAATTTATTAGGAATTTTTCATTTACATTTCATTAAGAGGACTGTTGTATACATTTTACAGGTTTTTGAAAAATGCATGTAAAAATGTTTTTTACCTAAGAATTTTTTTTTGCAAAAATTAGCCAAGAGCCATAGAAATGAATAAAATTGACCAAAACTAAAAGCATCAAAGTTTCTGTCTTAAAATTTAAGGGCAGTTACTGCCAAATTTTCCAATTTGTTTTGCAGATGCAATATTTTGGTAATGAGTTAGACTGCACAGTAGCAAAGCAGAGACTTTTTCCAGAATCTCCCTCAAGTTCATTTTTGAATCCTATACATAAACCAGTAAAGTATCATGGATACCAACATTATCATACATAAGAATGATAAGATATTGGTTTAAATCTTGAGTACCTAGATGAGAAAATTAAAACTAATATACGGATTCTTAAAACACCCTGCTTTGCCACTATGACTATGAGTTAGAACTTAGAGCATTTCAATGATCCAATCCAGGGCTGGAACAGTCCTACTTTTTTTCTGAAATATCCCCACTTTAATATCATAGAATTTCAGTAGGTATGAAATCTTGTGGCTCTAATGTCATGTATTTTTGTTAGATTGAAAAATTGCAGTTTGCAACTTTGCAAACAACAAACATGTCATTTCATAAAATTTTCAACTTCTGCAATGATGGCACAATCTGCAGTGCATTACCTCAACATTTTTGCTAAAATATCTTGCAAAACGTAATAACAAGTCTGCTTGACAATCACATAGCAGTAGTCACATTAGAGCGGTCAAACTGCATTATCTTGTGTTCAGTTGCCACATAAGTGAAGCCAAATGTTAGCTTTGCTGTTTGACTGTTTTAGAGCAAAACTAGAGATTTGGGGTAACACGTGCACAGACTTTGTAATTGTAAATATGTTTGTGGCCAAGATATGGAATTCATGGCTTGAAGAAATGGAATCACGGAGCAAAGAAATGGTATCACCACTCAAAGAAATGGAATCATGGCTGGCAAATCCGTAAAACACCAACTCAAAAAATTCAGTCACATCTTGGCGGTCTTGCCAAGTAGATATATTCCATGCCTGTTTCAATCTTTTCCAATCCTATAAAATAATCATTAATCATTATTTTTAGTAACTATTTTTTAGGAGTCCATTCACTCATTTGCCATACACTTGATTAGCTCAAAGAAGCTTAACACTTTGACTGCAACTCGCAAAATAGCCTGTATTCCAGGGGTGCGACTCGTTCAAACTTGAATAACTCAAATTGCAGACAAGGCAGCAAGATCAGGGCTAGTGCGCTGCTCTTGTCTGAGCGAGTTCTACAAGCTTCTGACATAAAAACCGTGAGCCTCTATTGGTGCATGTTGCCTGAGATGGAAACTTTCATCTTTCTAGGCAATGTGCGCCATATGAGGTACAGGGCATTTATTATTCAACTACAATATAAAATTTGCATCACACGGGTACTAACGCTTGAAAAAAAACCTATTCTGTGCAAATGAAATCGGATTGTGACTGCAATAATCAAACTACAAATCATTCTGGGGTAAAATGCTGCTAAATGGGAAGTTTATAATTCATTTAGATGATTTCTTACAAAACTGCTCTAAGCAAAGCATGAAGTGGTGCCAACAACTGTTCAAGTTATTGGCAAAAACTGTAGCAAATTCCTGGGTGCTTGGTGATCAGTTCTATAGTCAGTAAAAATTGATGTGAATTGCTGAAGTTGTTGAAGATTACTGAATGTATTTTCACTAGTAATAGGTCAGACACTTGAAGAAATGTTTCTAGGTATAACCAAATCACAATGATTTTAGATGTTGGCATTCCATTCCAGCTCTAAAGTATTTGAAGCTGAGGATCTGAACTTCATGCCATGACGAGCTACTGATCTGAGTCTTGCTTTAACATAATTGCAAAAAAAGGAAGTTAGTTAGTGCTAAAGTGAGACGTACAGCTAGAAAAGTAACTATCAATTGCTAGGAATGCTAGCCCAGTACTCAGAATCCATATCACTGTTTATCTTGCTTTTTACAGTGCCATTCTGTTTCTGTGTGAGCTTAGGCAACTTTTGAATGACTAATACTTATTTTTCTCCTGATATTAGTGCTATAATCCATACCAATACCAAAAAAATGATTTTCAACATATTAGAACAGGATAACCCCTTTATTTAATACTTTTTCTTTTTTGTACCCACTCGTTATTTCATAATTCAGGCTACATTTCAACTACTAAGCCACTGTGCAGAGAGTGGATGAATATTGCAAGATCTTTGGTGACACTTCAGTAGCAAAATTTATGCCGTCAGAAGATCTTGCCAACACATTTAGATTGAAATTCTTTCATTTAATATATTTGTCAGTCTTCGGCCAACTATTTGAAAAAAGTAAGGTTTCCGGTATGTTGATTGAATATTGATCAGTATGCAGTGAAGCTTGTCCGGAAATCAGTTGTGATGAGTTCCCACCCAAAAAATGTAAACATCAAGTTTACGATTACGTAGTTGCGGTCACATTAGAGTGGTCAGACTGCATTATCACATGTTCAGTTGACACTTGCTGTACAATCTGACTGTTTTTAGGGTAAAATAAGTTATTTGGAGTAACACATGTGTTCTTCATTACTCAGCGTAAATGTCTTTTCATTAAAAATTACCTGGCGACGCATCTTAAAATTACCCAGCGACGCTTAGGGCTTAAAAACCCATATATTGGCGACGCTGCATCCACCCTCTGCCCCATGGCTACTAAGATTCTTATGATTCGATTGCACGACATTCATAAAGGTTTTTGAAAACATTATTGACAATTATCCATCGTATTTTTTACAAGTTTATGATCTGGCTGATATTTTAAAGAGCTTTTTTTAAAAAACTAAATTTTTCAAGCGTGTGCCACACTGCCACAGTGCCATATATGATGCACATCGCAGTTTGGGACATGCATGCGTGTACCACTACCATATATCAGGATTGGAATTTTTCTATTTGTTTCTGAAATCTCGCGGCTTCAACATGACGAATTTTCAATACATTTGGAATCTCGCGGCTCGATATCGCACTTTTGTTAACATTTGGATAGGAGGTAATTCATCTGACGGAAATCTCGCGGTTTCAGAAATGGCGGGAAACCTCCAGGTCTCATAGTGTGGCACGAGAGTCGTTGTAAAATTTATCTCAAAGTCATCTGGTCGTTGAACAACCGCATGCCAGTCGATAGGATTTATGCAGTCGATAGTCAATAGGTTTCTTCAGTAGTTCGATAACTTAACAATGAAAACACTAGTCGTTAATAATGAGATAACCTTAAGTCTATGTAC